AAGACCTTCCTGGTGTGGATCAATGAGGAGGACCACCTGCGGGTCATCTCCATGCAGAAGGGGGGCAACATGAAGGAGGTGTTCACCCGGTTCTGCAATGGCCTCACCCAGGTCAGGCCTGGCCCCCAACAGGAGCTGGCATGAGTGTGTGTGTGTGGGGGTCGGTGCCAGGGAGGGGGCAGGCCAGGCAGGGACTTAGTCACCTCAGGCTCCTGGGTCCCAGCTGGTCGCCTGCGGGGAGGGGTCTCTCCAGGCCTCGCCGCTCACGCCTTCTCCACCTCCAGATTGAAGGGCTCTTCAAGTCTAAGAACTACGAGTTCATGTGGAACCCACACCTGGGCTACATCCTCACCTGCCCGTCCAACCTGGGCACGGGGCTGCGGGCGGGCGTGCACATCAAGCTGCCCCACCTGAGCAAGCACGACAAGTTCGCCGAGGTGCTCAAGCGGCTGCGGCTTCAGAAGCGAGGCACAGGTGCGTGGGGCAGGGTCTGACCCCAGCTCTTCCGCGGGCCCCCCATCCCCCCACCCCCCGCTGACCTGGCTGTCCCCCCAGGTGGTGTGGACACGGCGGCGGTGGGCGGGGTCTTTGACATCTCCAACGCCGACCGCCTGGGCTTCTCCGAGGTGGAGCTGGTGCAGATGGTGGTGGACGGCGTGAAGCTGCTCATTGAGATGGAGAAGCGGCTGGAGCAGGGCCAGGCCATCGATGACCTCATTCCCGCCCAGAAGTGAAGCCGTCCAGCACCTGCCACCGCCACCAGCCCCGCCGCTTCCTGATGTATCGCCTGGGCAGAGCCCACCACACACCCTGAGCTCGAGCCCGTGGCCGAGCCCTTAGCCTCGCTGTAGAGACTCCCGTTGTCCTAGGTAGAGTTTATTTTTGGTTAAGTGATGGCTACGATGTTGCTGATGCTGAAATAAACAGGGTTTGGCCTGCCCCGAGCCTGAGCCTGCCCCTCTGCGTCACTTCTGAGATGCAACAGGAACAGGAGGGTCACCCTGCTGTGCCCACCTGGTCCTATTCCATGAACCCCTCTTGGCCCTCCCTGCAGGCCTGAGGTGGGCTGGGGGAAGGCTGTGGAGGGGGAGGAGCTCCAGGGAGGAGCCCCCAAGCTGAGCATCTAAGAGCACTTGGGCCTGGGGGTGGAGCCTGGCACTTGGCTCAGCCCCACCCGCAGAGTGGGGGAGGTGTGGATGCTGTGAGGAGGGCCGGAGCCCAGAAACTTGAAACCTTTTGTTCCTCCACCCCCAAACACTACCCCCTCCTCCAGCCAGCCTGGCAGCATCCCCTCCCCGACACCCACCCTCTCTGCTAGATGCTCTCCCCGCAGGCTGAACTGGCCCTGCAGTTTCTGCCAGAAGCCTGGGGTCCTCACACCGCCCTCCTCAGAGCCTCAGGTGCCTCAGTCCCTCCGACTCCCACAGTGGGTCCCACCGTAGTGTCCCCGGCCAGGCTTTCTGGGTGTTTCCCAGCTGCCACTGCACCCGGCTGGTCTCTCACTCTGTGGGCCCACCATGGGCGAGTCAGCCAGGGCCTGGCTGTCCCTTCTCCAACTCCTCAGCCCTGAGGGCAGCCTGTGCTGCCACCTGCTGGCCAGGGCCGTCTCTGTCCTGACACCCACCCCCTCCAGCCTGGGGTGCCCCAGCCCAAGCTTGGTCCCGCAGGCCTTCCCCTTCCCAGGTTCTCCTGCAACTCTGAAGCCAGGCTCGGCCTCTGCGCCTATCTCATCCTGGGCTGGCAGTCTGTCCACTGAAGACTGGGCTCTCTCCCTGGGACGGGGCAGCTGGTCATCCCAGACCTGGGGCCCAGTACAAGCAGGTGTGGGGGGAGGGCAGCATGAGGAACCTCAGGTGTCCTGGGTGTGGGGGGCCCATGCAGGTGGTGTCCAGGCTGGGAGGGCTGTCAGGAGCCTTTGCCAGGGACCGTGGTCAATACTTGCTGGGCTGGCCCCCTGCTGGGGCGTCTCTGCACTCATCCTTCCTGGGCTAAGCGGGCAGGAGGGGCCAGGCCAGGGAGACAGGAGGCAGGGCACCCTTTTCCTGGCTTCAGTGTCCTCCACCTCCGGGGCCTGGGTCCGCAGAGCCCAGGAAGTGCAGCCGTGGGAAAGGCCTGGCCCTGCAGAGGGAGGTGGAGGGCAGCCATGAAGGAGGAGCAGCAGCAGCAGGATGCCCTCCCCGGCCAGGCTCCCTGTGCCACTGCCACCGAGGCTCTGCTGCACAGTGGCGCGTGGGCCGAGGGGCTCCTGGCCAGGTGTGGCTGTGCCCCAGTGCGGGGTGAGCACTGCCCCACGGCGCCGGTGGGCAGCAGCACCGAGGCAGACACACCACTTCTTGACAGAAGGTCTCATCCCCTCAGCATGACACCCAGCAAGGCCCAGGTGGCTGGGCCATCTCGGGCTCAGCTACCCGACTGGACACGACTGTGCCGGGCCACCTGGTTTCCTAGCCCTTCCCTCTGTGTTCCTGGTTCCTCGTGTCCTCTTGCTGCACTGAGTGCACTCTCGTAGCTGCTGCCACGCACTCTGGGACCAGGCCCCACCGCCTCCCCTTCCTCTGGGCTCCAGGGCGAGTTTAATTTTCCTTGAAATTATGTCAAACGTGGGAAGCTTATGAAATGCTCTACCCACTGCAGAGGGAACTCGCGAGCCCCCAGCCTGGGTTCCTGCTGCAGCCCCACTGACATCCGGCAGCACAGCTGTGGGAGCTGTTCCAGGCACTGCGGGTGCTCACCCCGCCCCAGCTCCTGGATGCCAGCAGCATCTACCACCCCCCCCCCAGCCCCCCGACCGGGCACAGTGCCTCCAGACACTGCCAAACGCCAATGGGGACCCAAGAGCCCCTGACCCTGGAGACACACCCAGCGCCTGCAGAAGTGATTAGGAGACACAGCTGCGTGTGGAGGAAGAACAGCTCGGGGCTGCCAACACACAGGGCCGCTGCAAGACCAGGGAGAAGCGTGGTCGGGGAGGAAACAGCCTGTACTCGGATCCCACACAGAACATGTGGGGAACCCTGAGGAGCAGGAGCGGGCGGAGGCGGAGAGGTGACAGGTGACTTCCTTCTTCAAACTTCACTTTCCAAGTTTCCTACGGTGAACATGTCTTTCTTACGTAAGCCGAACCGAATTCTTTACATGTTTTTTAAAGGCTCTGATGTGTCACAGTTCGTGGGAGACTACTGAGGCTGGGCTTGGCTGTCACGGCCCTTTGTGCTCGCTGCGCCTGAACAATCGCCACCCACCCGTGGGGGCGGGAACGGGGCTCAGGGAGGAGGACTGGGCGGGTCACCAGAAGGCCACCTGCTTCCGAGGCGCGGGCTCTGTCCACTGCTCCTGGCCTTTGCAGACCTGCTAGCCCTGAGTGTGCGGACCTGCTGCTCAGCAGGAGCTGAAGAGGCGGCACCGGAGGTTCCTCCTTCTGCATTTCTATTTGCAGCCCTGAGCTGACACCAAGGAGCCGACACCAACGCCTCCCACAGCACCTGGGGCTGCACCTTGTTCTCAGTGAATTTCCTTTCCCCGGGAGCAGGGGGCGATCACTTTGATGGCAAGAAGTCATCTTCCTGGCTGTGAGGTTCCCAGGAGCAGGGGAGACTTCAGCTGCGAGAAGTGAGGCTTCTACCATGTGCATTGCATTGGGTGACCAAGTGCTGGTTCCCAAGCCTGGCTGGCAGGGCCTGCAGGAGGCGTGCACGCCTGGGACCCTTCCCTCTCTGTAGACCTGGCTCCGCTTGGGTTCAGAGGTCCTTCCAGCCCTTCTGAGAGCTGGAGCTTGTCCAAGCTGAAGGCTTCACTGAAATAATTAACTTAAGACCCAGAAAGGTTCAAAGAGCTCTTTCCGCTGAGCCTGTGGGAGGCTGCTCGCCGCCCAGCACCACCCTCCCTGCTCTCCTGGCGCAGTGGCCCTGAGCCTGGCCTGCAGCGGCCCAACCCAAGTAGCACGTCCCCAAGGCCGTCCCAGCCACCCGGGACGAGGACGGGCCCTCGGCTGGCGGGGGAACACCTCCAGGTGTGCAACCTGGTACATGCGTGTGACGGCCGGCACCACTCCCGACTTGGCGATGGGGACTGTACTGGGGCTGGGACCCTGCTCCGTCCTTCACTAACCCTCCTGGCAAGCCGGGGCCCGACTAGGTGCTTGCTGGTCTGCCCAGGTCCTGCAGGCCTTGGAGGTGCATCTTTGCAGGAATTTAGTTGGAACCCACCATGCCTATGAGCATGTAGGGTGGCACACGTAAGACCCGAAACTGCCGACAGCGGCACCAATGCCTCCAGACCCGTTTCCTTTGCTGTCTCGGTCTAACCTGGGGCTCCCTCTGCATATCCCTTTGCTTTCCACACTCAGCCTGCCCACCCGGGCCACCCAGAGCCCAGGGCCCTGTGCTCCACCTTGCCCTGCCCTCCTCCTGGCAGGACCGCAGCCCTCCCCGTCACCCGTTGGGCGTGGCCCTCGGTTGCACTCCTGTGTCACTATTTCATGGTGGCTTTTCTCTCCGAGAATGCAGACGTGGGTCAGGCTTTGGCCTTTCCCCTTTCATCCCACCCACCCCAACTGGCCTGCCTCCATTACTGGACAGACAGGTAGTCTGTGTTAAAACATGCCCAGCTTTTCCCAAAATACACAACTTAGCAAAAACACAAAACTTCCATTGTTTTCACTAAAACGAGACTAGTTTTGACACAAACTGCTCGGCACATTGAGTCGCACTTCAGATGCATTTCCCTCAAGAAAAAATAATAATAGAGGAACCGTCCACACTTAACACCACTGCACTGCGCTTGCAGGCCCGCCTGCTGCACCACGTGGCAGCACAGTGCCTCCCCCTCGTTCTCCCCGAGATGGCTTCCCCGTGCGCTCCTGGCCTCAAGGACAGCCAGATCCAGGGGCTCAGTTCCCCTGATGACTGACACGACGAAGGAAATGCAGCACAACGCGACTGCCACCCGCCCGCCCGAAGGCAGCAGCCCTGGGACAAGCCCATCAAGATTCTTGGGAGCTGAGAGCACGTGGGGGGGAGCCGGGGCGGGACCAGCGGGGCTGGGGTTGGGGTTGCAGGGGGAAGCCCAGGACTGGGAGCAGCAGGTGAGCAGAGCTGGTGCTGAGGAGCGAGCCTGGGACTGCGCAGAGGAACCTGCCGACCAGCAAGTGCCTGGCGCCCGGAGTGCCAGGCGTTCGGGGCTGGCGGCGTCCCACAGCGCCTGCTGCCGGGCGGATGAACGGATGCACATGCTACCTCCCAGCTTATTTCCATGCAGAGCATGACTGCTTTTCGGTGTATCACACCCTCCCACGCCTGCCAGCACTCCCTCCCGAGGCAGCGGGAGCCGGTTCAGACCTGGCTCTGGAAGGAGCCGGCATGCCAGGGGCCCCGTGCCAGGGTGCTTCCCACTCAGGGCAGGGGGTCTGTTTTGGAGGCCTGTCAGATCACTCCCAAAGGAAGTGTGGGGTCAAAGTCCCCTTCACAGCCGAGGTGCACTGAATGAGACACCAATTGCTGCAATGGCGACAAGACAGAGCCTGTCCACCGTCACTGCCCTGCGCCTCAGGCTTGCCTGTCACCTGCGCCACCTCGCCTGCCGGTCTGGTTTTGCTCAGCCTCGAGCCGGCACTCCTTCTGGCAGCACTGGCAGTACTGGGTTCAAGACCGTGTCTCTATCCCTCTCCTGTGAGAAGAACTTCTGGAAGGCACAGGCTCACCTGGCTTGTCTTTGGATCCCCAGAGCTCAGCACAGGGCCCTCCGGAGTCCCTGCCACCCTCGCCTACCCCCAACATGCATGTCGATGAGCGTCCATAGGGATAATGGCGGACAGTCCTCAGGATACTCCCGGAAACACCTGAAAAGAACTCAGGTGGTTTAACTTGGAGAAGCAAAATTCAGGGAGGGAACGACACTCCTCTTCAAGCACTGAGCCTGGACTAGAGAGCAGGAGACCCCTGCAGGA